AAAGAAAACCAAATAACATGCCGCATAAACAATATGTCGACAACAATGAAGACACTCAGAGGTATATTACTTTAGACACTGCTGTCTGAGCAGCCAAACCAAGAGCTGTAGCTGGCAACCCCTCAATTTCTTTCTTGTCAGTTATTAATTTTTCAAACTTCTTCGTAGCATCTAAGACATTCTCGCCAAACTTTCGTGATAGATTTGACAAATCCTGCAAAGCAAAGTACAAGGTAGTCATGCAAACTTGGAACAAGTGGAATCCTGGAATGTCAATGGTGGAGTACAAAGTCAATCAGAAATGCAGCCTATAACAAGCTAAATACAGCTGAGCCTATCGAGTAGGTAGCTAGCTAAGTGGATACCTGCTCAATTTCATTGAATCTCTCTCTTTTATCATCATCAAGGGCAATACCACTGAGCACAGCCTCCTTTATTTGGGCTGGATGTGTAGAACATAAGATATCAATGATCCATGGAAGTAGTAATTTCCATTGAAATAAAATATATATTTCATGAACAGATTACATACCCTCGACTATTCTCTTGCGAGCATCACTAAGCCCTTGCCAATCAGGAGACTCTCTGATAGCTTTAAATGCATTATAAATCGGTTTACTTTGGTCCAACCTCAGCGCAAAAGCAACTTTTTCTGGCTGTAGGTAATTGATACACAATGTAGTTAGGAGGGAAGGACAGAGTTCAAAAAATAACCAGCAGAAAATACTTTTTTACCCAAATGATCAACTTATCAAAAACTTAAAGAACTGCGAAGTCTGATACAAATTGTAGTAAATTGCTAAGGTAAAGCCCCTATATGTATGCAATAAAATTCAAAAAGACCAAGACTGCGTCTTAAAACTGATAAGTCATCAGTTCATACCCCACAGCAAACCAGTGAGAAATAAGAAACTGACCTGAACTTCCTCAATGGCTGAGCGGAGTTCAGGATTATCTTTCACAGACTTAAGGTGATCAACGGCACCCCAAACCACAGCCAACCGATCAACGATCTTCTCCAATGGCTCCACCAGCTTCGGCCACGTAGGCTCCACAGTCCTCTCCAATTCCTCTAACTCGCCTTCCTACATTCAAAATTCAGACCGTCAAAACTCATCAAAATCTACATTACAGAACCAAGTAACAAACACACGCACACATAATGAAACATTCACAGGCACGTATATGGGAACAACATACGAGTTGCTTGAGCAAGGCGCGAATTCCTGGGCGGACGTGCGAGGCGTTGATGGAATCGAACGGTGGGAAATAGAACTCCTTCAACAAAGGATTGTCTTCGGTCGCCGCCGCCGCCGCCATTCCGGAAACAGCAGATGAGGCCGGAGCAGATAAAGATCGGGCGGAGCTAATGAGCTTGCGAGCAGGAAGGTGAGGGACGAAAGTTGACTTGCGGAGAGTGTGAATGCAGAGAGAGAAAGACGGGGACCAGAGGTGACAAGGGCGGGATCTAAGGAGAAGGTTGGGGCGAGTAAGGGAATGAGAGAGAAAGGCGGGGTTAAAGCAGATGTGCTGGTAAAAGGCGGGGAGTGAACGAGCAGGCGAAAAACAGGTCGCCATGAAAATGAGGAGGAAGATGAATTTAAGAGTCCGAGTATAACCGTACCCGATTCTCGTGGGTGGATCGGATAACCCCATTTGACTCATTCTTTCCCAAATCAAAAGAAGAACTTGGGTCTGGTTAACCGTACTGGTATTTGGTTTGTAAGTTTTTTTTTTACCGAACGATTTTATATTTGGTTTGTAAGCTGCAACACTCTATTACGCTACAAGTATGTAGTAAAATTTTCTGTATTGTATGAAAGAAAATAATCATATCACTAAACAAAAAGAAATGGACAAAATTTTGGAATAGCTAAACAAAAAGTTGACATTAAATAGCTCTTCTTGCTTTACTCTCTGAATATACTCCGTATTAGTGAGCTTAAATTCATGACAATGAAATTAGTATAGAAGAGAAAATTATACTATATACTACTACGTATAAAATATGAATAATACTACGTATGAGAAACATGATCTAGAAGTATTAAATGTAGAATATTATTTATGACATAATTGTCAAAGGATAAAGTGGAACAAGGATCTTTTGTGATCAAACTTTGGAAATATTTACGTATTAACAATTGAAAAAAGATTTCTCTCCTAACCAAATGAATATAAGAGCATCTCCAATGGTAAAATGTGCACGGTGCACACGTGGTATGAGAAATAACCACATAAATATTAGTAAATAAATTCTTTCTCTCCTTATTTGAATGATTTTATATAGTTTTGGTAAGTTTTTCTCCACAATGTCAAGTAGACCGTCTAGATGTTGACATTGTTGTTGACATTGCAGGAAAAAACTTACCAAAATGGTGTAAAATCATTCAAATAAGGAGAGAAATTATTTATTTTCTAATATTTATGTGGTTATGACGCATGCCACATGTGCACCGTGCACATTATAGCATTGGAGATGCTCTAAGAGCATCTTCAATGCTACAATGTGCACGGTGCACATGTGGTATGAGAGATATAGACACAAAATATTGATTTTATGACATTTCTCTCCCCTTCTTTCTACGGTCTTATGTGTTTTTGGTAAGTTTTTGTCTGCAATGTCAACCATAATGTCTATATCTAGACATTGTGCTTGACATTGTGAAGAAAAATTTACCAAAATGATGTAAGATCCTTCAAATAAGGAGAGAGATATTCTATTTATTGTTTTTTTATTGGTTATATCTCATGCCACGTATGCACCGTTAACGTTTTAGAATTGAAGATGCTCTAAGTGTGTGTAAGTGTGTTGATCATCCGAATATCCTATCGAACTGAAAAGTGATCAAACCATGAAGCACATTCTTAATCTAGCCATGAAATTAAAAATGGAAATTTCTTTCTTAATTACCATATAATGCAATGACTTGTTCTATTGGATCGGGATTCACGATGAAATGTATTAAGAGATAAGAGTGTTGGATTTTTCTTTATTTAAAATCTTTCTATTTTGGGAGTTTCTAATTAAGAGGGTCAGGCACTATCTCAAACATCGGAACAGAAAGAGAGCAACGGATTGAGAGAAAAGTCACAAAACATGAGCTGAATGCTCATCCCGTTTTTTCAGCAGACAACAGCAGAAAAGTTCCGTTTCCCGGAGATTGAACTGTTGGATCGTCGTGATTTTTGGACAAAAGCTACACAGCATTTGGGCCCATATTTTGGATGGTGGAGATCGGGTTTTGAGGTCTAGAGGTCGGGTTATTTTGGCCTGGAGAGTAGCTAATTTTCTGTTGATATTTTTCTTATCTTTACTCTATTTTGATTCTATACACCTTGTTGTGCTTACTTCCATGGATATGATGATTTTGTATGCCTCTAGTATTATCTAGAGAATACTTTGCATTGCTCCTTTGATGATGATAGTGGATTTAAGCGGCCAAAATGGTCTCGTGTTTTTTCACTAGTTTATGGGTTTTCCACGCTAAAATTTCAGTTTCTTTGTGTTGTGTGCTTACTGATTTTAGCTCAATATCTTGGTGCATGGAATTAGTATTGTGTGTGTTCTAATTGCATCAAGAACACCCAAAATACTTCTTCCATGCAATTAGAACACACACAATACTACTTCCATGCAATTAGAACACACACAATATCACTTCCATGCACCAAGATATTGAGCTAAAACCAGTAAGCACACAACAACACAAAGAAACTGAAATTTTAGCGTGGAAAACCCATAAACTATGAAAAACCACGAGACTATTTTGACCGCTTAAATCCACTATCATCATCAAAGAAGCAATACAAAGTATTCTCTAGATAATATTAGAGGCATACAAAATCATCATATCCTTGGAAGTAAGCACATCAAAGTGTATGGAATCAAAATAGAGTCAAGATAAGAAAAATATCACCAGAAAATTAGCTACTGTCGAGACCAACAAAACTCAACCTCTGGTCCTCAAACCCCGATTTCCACCGTCCAGAATGTTGGCCCAGATGTTGTGTTGCTGCTGTCCAATAATCACGACGATCCAACGGTTCAATCTCCGGGAAGCAAAACGAGATGAGCATTCAACTCATGTTTTGTGACTTTTTCTCTCTCAATTCATTGCCTCTCTTTCTGTCCTTATGATTGGATGTTACGGATGCTTTTTATGGGATTCCATACCCCAAGTCGTCCCTGGACCCGTTCTCAATCTCAGAACTCTAACATTGAGATAGTGGCTGACCCTCTTAATTAGAAACTTCCAAAATAGAAAGTCTAAATAAGATTTTAATGAGCTCAAAAGTTGGGTTTTTCTCATAGAACAAACAATAAAGAAAACCCCAACAAAGAGAAAGCGCATGGTCTTCTAATGTTAAGATATGGTATCAAAGCATGCAAATCTCTTGTATCCTCTGCTCCCTTTAATGATAGGTTTGATAACCTCTTATCACTTTATGACATCACGTAAATTTATGCTAAGAAATCCATCCTATTATTATTTGATTTCGCCTCTCAAAAAAAATATATCATTTGATTTCGTTGAGGGTAGGCATATCAAAACCACTAATATATTCAGGAATTTCAGGAATTATATGTATGGTTGAGTAAAAAAGTAAAAGTTCCATAAATACATTTAAACATAATACATGTGTGTGTTACTTCTCCTGAAATGCACAATTTTGGAGCGGTGTACTTTGAAGTTTGAAGGCATAATTGCAATTCTAAATATCATTTTTGCACTATCTAAAACACGGCATAGGCATGAGGTGAGTGACTGGGTGAGGGCAATTGTAGCCTATTCACAGCGCAAGAATGCCAAAATGTTCTACTTCCAGATTCATACAAAAAACATTTTTCATTTGATCACAATTCAGATATAAAACAAAAACCGTTAAAATTTCCGTTAGTAGCGTACCTCATTTCGATTTCTAAAGACAGAATTGCTACAGGTATCCCAAACCTATCCCATTTTTTACCCCATATAAAAATCCTCCCCCACTTTCTTCTTCCCTTACACCCACCCCACTTTTCTTCTCTCCTCCTACCCTCTCTCCTTCTTTTCACGCACCCCCCACACCCCCTCCCCTTCCTTTCTCTTTTCTCCAAATCTTGTTTTCTTCCCCATTTCAAGATCTCCCACCTTCATTAATACTTCTCATTTTTTTCCATCTTTCCCCCCTCCAAGCTTCTTCTAATGCTTCTCTCCTCTTCTGTCTTTTTTTATTCATTTCAAATGCACAAGCTACAGTAATCGGACGAACGGGGAGAGCTCCGGTGATGTTGGATACATGGGGAGACAACAATGAAGGTGTAGACCAAGAAGCTTTGAATGACTTGAGTGGATCTTCCTTTCTTGATTTTTTGGTGTTTTTTGAAATTAAAAGGGTTGTATGTCTGACAGACAACTTGTAAGCGCAGTATTTGTTTGTCTGTAATTGATGGTTAATTGTTTTTCATTTAATTTGAGTTGTCTGTATTTGTTTTGAGTTGTCTGTATTTGTTTTGAGTTGTCTATACGGACATTAGTTTATTGTGAATTACCATTTTGACATATGTTTCATAAAAAAGACAAACAATACATATAACTAGACAGAAAATAAAGATAACAAGACAAACATTATTTTTCACCACAAATTACTTACAACTCACAATGAAATGACAAACAACTAAATATGAGTTACAGACAATTTCACGACTTTTACAGACACCTCACAACAACATGGCAGACAAGTCATTACAGACAACTCAAAACAAATACAGACAACTAATAAACAAATGACAAACAATTAAATATCAATTACAGACATTTATTTTTCAAAGGACAGACAACTTCACGACTCTTACAGACACTGCACTTTCAAGTTGTCTGGCAGACAGACAACCCCTTTTATTTCCAAAATACATAAAAAATCAAGAAACAAAATCAAGAAAAGAAGATATGTTGCTCAAGTTATTTAAAGCTTCTTGGTATGTCTTCATTGTTGTCTTCCCTTGAGGTTGCATCCGAAATGGCAACCGACATAGGTCCGCCGTCGGCAACTGGCGTAGGACCGCCGTCGGCAAGGTCACCGGTGGAAGAGGGGATAAGCAGGAGAAGATCGAGGTTGGAGGGGAGGTGATGATAAAAATGGGAAGTTTTAAAGAAGGAGAAAGATATTGAAATGGAGAAGAAAGGGGAAGGGAGAGGGGGTGCGTGAAAAAGAGGAGAGGGAGGGAGGGAGGAAGAGAGGTGGGGGTGCATGAGAGAGGGAAGAGGGAAGAAAAAAAGTGGGGGTGTGTTTTTATATGGGGTACAAATGGGGTAGGGTTTGGGGTACCTATAGCAAAATTCTTCTAAAGATGATGACAATAATATGCAATTAATAAGCAACAAATCAAAAAAATTATAAAATTTAAAAGCAAGTAACAGTAATAAATAAAAATAACCTGTAATCCAAGCTTTATTACATTTTAGGTTTAAATATGATTTTAGTCCCTGCAAATATAACACACTTTGTTTTAGGTCCCTACAAAATATTTTCTTTGATTTTCATCCCTATAATATGCGCTATTTTGGTTTTAGTCCATCTCTAACTCCAAAACAACTCTACTTGGATTTTTTAATTGTCGGTTGCATAAATCTACTAGATATGTTTAAATTTATCATTTTATAATTTTTGAGGCTAATATGAGCGTTAAAACAATATTAAAACTAATTGTTCGCATTTTTAAAATATGTATTAAAAACCTTTTAGAAAATGAAATTAAATACATTTTAAATGACATGACAAAGAATTAAAGGATACATATTAGTCGGGATTGTTTCATTGTCAAACGGAGGTTGTTATCATTGGTCATGGACTAAAAAGAAAATCAACATAAATTTCAGGGATGAAAAACAAAGAAAATATTTTGTAGGGACCTAAAACAAAGTGAGCTATATTTGCAGGGACTAAAAACATATTTAAACCTACATTTTATTATAATGATTTATTAATAACAACTTCACATGTTAACTAATATACGTAGTATTAATTTTTCTTTATAAATAATCAATAAGATTACTGATAACAATAAATATATACATTTAAGACGACCTATGTGAAAGCCGAGGACCTCAGATTCAAATGATACAACTTCATACAGTAATTCTTTCACATAAAAGAAAACTTGCAGGCCGGCCAGGTTTGGGATAAATTTTAGCTGTGCAAATCATTAATATATATCATAACAATAATACTAATTATGAAATCAGTAATATGTTGGGAAGGGCTCAAGTCCAGGGGAGCTCAAACATACATCAGCCCCTGATTAGAAGTATATATGACTAGTAACCTGGGGCTCAAGTCCAGGGGAATCATAACCAACGTTTTAAACAAGGCGGCAATGGTTCACCTTGTCTGAGCAGGTTGTGGTTGGAAAGTTTCCACTTGCTCTCCTTTCAACAAGAATAGTGATGACAAGCATTTGCAGATGAGCAGATCAATATAGTTCTATAAGAGGTCTAGATTAAAATTTAAAACCAATTTGTTTGTAAAGCACTTGTCATAGGAGAACCTCTTCTGCTATGATATATTATCAGAAGTCATCTTACTTTCAGCTACTTTTTATTCTTTTATTTTATTTATAAAAATAAAATAATTTGAATACCTTTTAAGTAATACAGACTATACAAAACATTTAGCCTATTCACCTCGGCCGCTCATCAAATCCAGCTCATCCAGCCAAATCTTACACTTACTGGACAGGTAAATTCCAAAAGTTAAAAAAGGTGCACTTAAAACCAACAGGATATGTTTCTTATGCATTGCCGAAATGGCAGCTCATCCAATTGGGGGAACTATTCCACGATCAGTAAGTTGTTCTTCATTAATCCTTCACCAATTGTAGGGTACTCTGGGGATAACTGCCATTCTCCATTCACCAAGAACTTGATCTCATACCTTCATATTTTCACAGGCATAAGTGGATCAACCAAGAGTAACCAGCCAGCTATTGATAAGCAAAGTAGCAAACCTAGGTTGTTGAAGAAAATGGGAATACCTTCCTGGCCTGAGCATTAATGTTGTTGAAAAGTGAGTGAAATCACCAGTGTACTCGGGAGATAACTCTTCTCCTTGACTCCAGCCATCAAAAGATCCCATTACTTGCACACTCTGAACAAACAAAACTAAATCAGACCCCAAAAAGTTCATGGATCGTGTTTCCTTCTCTATTGATGAGAAAATGTGCTCCCCGCTCAGGATGATCCTTATAAGGCATATTGCCCTCATTTATTTTCACTTATAAATGAACACTTTTAATGAATAAACATGGACACTTTTAATGCTTCACAGAAATAAAATAAAAACGATATCTTGTAAAAAGGACCGCTGAATCCCTCTGAAAGGTTGCTTATAACAAGGACCAGTTTCCAATTCAATCATTTTAAATGTGATGTCTTTCAGGAACATCTAGCTGTTTTAGTTATAAGTTTCTTCTTATTCAATTGCAAAAAACATAGGTAGTATAACAGGTGTGCTGGACAGAATCTAAGAAGACATTAAAAGAATTTCTTCACGAACTGACCTCTGCCATACCCATCCAGAATAAAGGAACCTCTTTGGGTTGAGCAGCATCCACATCCTTTATTTGTTCCTTTAGTTTTCCCTTCAAAGCTTTTCAGCACAGATATAGTGACCATAAGAAGAGAAAAACTAACTAGACAAAACAAATAAATTAAATGAACAGAGGCTGCAGATATAACCATATACTTGTTATGATTATTATATGTATAATAATTATAGAATTATGTCTAAAACTAGTTAAAGTGGTTTCTAAGTTAATTCTGCAGAGCATTTAAAGGTAAGTTATAAGCAAACATCATAATTAGTACCTTGGAGACGAAAAAGGAGGTGAGATTGGATATACTTTCCATTAATCTTTCTAGAACCTTTTGGGATACTAGATTTTGCAATTTCTTCTGCCAAACTGACCGAAGCCTTCAAAAAGAGATTACAAAATTCATTCACACACTGACATCTAAACCTCAGCGAACTTCTTTTTCGTCTTTCTGGCCTTGTAACTATTTATAACACACTAGAAATGGTAATGGACAATAATCACCTCATCAAATTGCTTCATAAAGGCTACACTTCCTCTATTTAGTTATACCAGATTCCCACACATTTAAGGTTTAGGCACATAGATTAAAAATATCATTTAATTGTTAAAAATAATAACACTGTTCATAAAGGCGTGGAGCATGACAAAGTGTCAAGACCAAGCCTTAAGTCTTTGAAGCTTAGGCGAGATTATACCAAACCTAGACGCAGGGGTGGAACCAGAACTTTTGCCTTTTGATGCCTTTCACGGACAACTATCGAGTTGGCCGCCTTTTCCACGCCTATCTACTATGTGGGCGTTTTCCTGCCACATTTTTCGCCTAGGCTACTAGGTCCGCCTTTTGGCACCTTTTCTTAACAATTACTTATCACTTAGTTGAAAAGTAATCTAAAAGAGAGTGGTAGAACTGTAGAAGAAAACAACATTGTTTAAAAAAAAGACCGGAACTCCGGAAGAATGGAGCTTTGCTGGGTATTTCCCAAAGTAACCTTTAAGGGTGTGTAGAATGTATTGGCAGGTATAAAAGGGTCTAGAATGAAATGTCGGTGAAATTCCTACTAAAATAAGAAACCTCAACAGGAGATGCATGCATACCTCAATATCATGTTCTATCCCTGCAAGTTCCCTTTTGAAAGTAACCAGTTCATGCTCTCTTGCTTGCAACTACAGTATAATAGTATAAATTGTTCCCAAGTGCAACAGTTATTGAATCATGTTAAACTACCATCTTTAAGAAAACTAGTACCACAGAGTAAGAAACTTCAAAATGTTCTACCAATAGAGAAAGAAAGGAAAACCTGGCGTTTGAAAACCCGGTTTTGTTGATTTGCTTCACTCAATTTCTTGAGAACCTTTAATCTTTCAGAATCAGTCAGCAGCAAGTTTAACTGTTCAACAATTTTAGAGTATTAGCCCTGGTCATCCAAATATGACCACCTTATACTATGATAGTATTACAAAATTTCATCTCTGAACTATCAACAACTTTTGTGCAAGTTAATTGCTCCTTTCCTCTTTCAAATCAGTTTAGCTTCATACCTTCATTGAAGTTCAAAAAAGGAATCACTTTCTCTAGAAATGAAGGTTCAATAGGTGCCTTTACAGATTTACCAAACAAACAAATAAAGCAAGAAAATGACTGGTTTTACACTATAAGGATGCCATTGACCATTGAACTTCAAAACAAAAAAAAACATTGTTGTAAATAATCAGCCTAGGCGACGGCCTAGGCTGGGCCTAAGAAAAAACATAAAAGTCGCCTTCCATGGGCATCAGGCTAAATCAGAATTCCTTTTATGCGCCCGCTAGGTGCTCCTAGGTGCTGTATCACTTCACTGTTAAATACTCACTTTTTGTATTTTTATGCAAAAACTACACCCAAGTTACAAATAAAATGTTTTCTTCAAAGGAAAATGCTAACAAGTATCCTTAGGGTGTTGTTTAAGGAATCAAAAGTAAGCGGACGTTTTTAGGGAAAATACCTGAAATAGGAGTAAAAACAATGTAAAATTTTAAAACGTTAGTGCTGTGCTTTTTTCATTAAATAGGAGTGACTTAATGTCATTCTGAAATTCTAATGTCATATTGTGGCATTATTGGGCTTTAATATGGCAGCTTACTTCCACAATCGGCAGTATTTTTTAAACATGGTAGTAATTACTCTTAGATAAAGAATAAAACATAGTGCTCCAATTTCGGAACTCCACATTGTTTTTACTCCTATTTAGAGCAATTTATTATGTTCTTATTGGGATGCAAAATAGAAAAATAGAGAAATGTAAAAACTGCACGCTATTGTAACTGTCAATTAAAAAAACTTCTTTTAGGTTCTTACTAATACCCTAAGGGCGCTTAGCAAAGATCATCATCATCATTAGTGCCGCAAAGGCTCCCACACCTTCGGTGGGGTAAGGGGGGGTCAGATGTACCATAGTGGCGCTCAGCAAAGATCCTTTTTAAAATTAGATATTTTAAGGGAAGGACTCCTAGATGCTTGTTGAATGCCCTAAAGATTTCTCCAATGGATATGGCCTTAACATTTTAAAGATTAGCGAACTAATAAGAACTAGAAATTTGTAATAGACACAACAAGCAAATTTATAAATAGAAGCAATCTCTTGATGTATGCATATTGTTTTTCACATATAAGAGCAGAAAACTCAATAAGGAAGGAATATACATAATGAATATGCAGTGCCAGCTAGGGAAGACGTCTTACACCAAGTATTAAAATTCACAATTTTTAATTGGAACAAAATTGATTTATCAGTGGGCTGAAATTGACAATATAGTATCGAGACACTTCCAATGACAACAAATGGTAGAAATTTTGACGGGTAATCCTATGAAGGTTTAGAAAGAACTAATACACGTACTTGGAATAGTCGCAACAAAAGGAGGGCTACATACAAACAGTTCTGCAAGCTGCTTCTCATTTTCTTTACAAAAGTATGGACCAAATAATTTACCTCCACCGAGCTCAAAGGCCGACCAAGATAGTCTTCTTCATTTGAAGCACAAGAACCAGGCTCGTCAAGCCTCGATATATCCCGTGATTGTACAGCTGAAAATTCTTCCTCCAAACTAATGGGGCTACAATATATCCTCACTGGGGTACGTTGGGTAGTATGTTTCCCTTTGTATGCTGGATGTAATTTGACAACCCCCTTCTGAAAACTCTTCCTTATGTTGCAGGAAAGTATGTTCCCTTGAACTCTGTTGGAATTGTCCATCTTGAACCTTCACATTTTTTGTTAAAGTGGGGATTTTTTAACCAAGAAACCGTTAAAGATAGCCAAATTTGAACCAATGCTTAATTATGATTCACACACAGTACACAAAGTTAAGTAACTAAATTAGAATACAAACAAATACTCCGTACCATGTTAAGTTTGCCTTGCCCACCGAATGGATTACTGTACATTCCATAGTCAAGTAGC